CTGGCTGGGTTCCGAGATGCAGACATGCCAGCCATCCCTGTGAAGTCACCTTATAAACAAAAAAAGGAAAATCCGATTACCTGGGCACTGGCTGATCACTGGGTTTTAGCAACAATGCTTAGCTGTTCTGGATCCGATAATGGTGTTGAATGGGTTCAGAACAGGCCTCCTCAAATGTGCCACGTAGGCATGTAAATTATTTTGAGCTGAAGGCAATCAAGACGTGAAAAACGTTTACCTCTCCCTTAAAGAATGTAAACTTGGGCCTTGCCCATAATGAGTTATTTCTAGCGATAACTTTTTATCACCTGCCTACAGGGCAGGGCCAACATCTAACTACCGAACACCTGCTCTTCTGTCTGCACACAACCTTCCTTCCCTCTGAAGCCACAAAGTGCCTCATCCCTACTCAGAAAGTCATATATACCTCATTTTAACCTAATACCCCTAAATCTCTCGTGCATGTGGGGTTCCCATACGAACATATGTAGACAAATTCGGTTATTTTTGCTTGTTAATCTGTATCACGTAGCCTAGCGGAAAGACCCTTGAAGGGTAAGGTTTCTCCTTCTTCATTGTCCTTTGACCACAGCATGATTCCAGTAGTTACTTGGCAATTTGTTTTATTGTGAAACATGGTTTTCATGGAGGAAGTGGGCTTGGGATGGGATGGAAGGTGGGTGCTGATGTGGGATGTGGTCAGTATATCACATCCTGGCTCACTGGAAGGCCATGAGGCTACATTATACTTGGGAGTTTACCATCCGATTCACGAGTCTAGGCAACAGGAGTTCCACTGGGAAGGCAGCACTCCAAAGCCCGAGTATCTCCTGAGTTGAAAAGAGATCAGGACTCACCACCTTCTCATCCCCATCCCCATGCAGCATCCGCCCAGAGGAGCCAACTCTTCCATGCCTCTGGCCCAGCTATGCCCGGCCTCTGCGGAGACAGAACGGAGAATCACCCCGCGGGCACACACACAGAGGGCGTTTTACCTTTCCGTCACTAGCTTGCCTCTGGAGACAGTGGATTCTTTTTTTTTTTTTTTTTTTTTTTATCCTCACCTGAGGATATTTTTCCATTTTTTGTACAGATAGAGTGGGAGGGAGAGAGAGGAAGGGAGAGAGAGAGAAACATCGACGTGAAGGGACATATCGAGTGGCTGCCACCCGCACGACCAACCAGGGCCGGGGACAAACTGCAACCGAAGTATGTGCCCTTAGCGGGAACTGAACCCGGGTCCCTCCGGACCGCAGGCCGACGCTCTAACCGCTGAGCCAAACTGGCCAGGGCGACAGTGGATTCTGAAGCAGTCCCGCCAAGTGGTTCAAGAACGAGGGCAGAACTGCCTCCCTTACATCTGCTGCAAGGCCTATGAGCAGGACCCCATGTTCTGTCCCTGCTCACTCGGCAACACGTCCAATGTGGTTCATGAATGGGGCAACAGAAACTCGTTTTCAAGGGCCAAGGTTTTGCTTAAAAATGAAATTTGAATCTATTACTTTGAGACATTCTTCACCTCCTGTGTACAGGTGATTAATGACTCCCAAATTGTTACTTCTGCACCTGTGTCTGGGCCACTTGTCCTATCAACAAACGTATTTTGAGTACCTTTTATGCGTGGGGTACCCTTGCAATGCAATGAGTGGCCTCTGGCAGACCGGTACTAGGGATTTGCATTTTTAAAAGGAAAAAAGTTCCTGTCAGTGTCCCTAAGGACCCAGTGCAGGGCGGGAAGAAGGCTGGGGCTGGAGCAGGAGGAAAGTGGAGGCAGAGTAAGGGGAGGGGAGTAATGTACACACAGCACCTCACTTGTTTCGTTCTCAGCCTTGTGAAGATGCGCACAAGCTCGTAAAGAGGCAAATCATCAGTCTCCTATAAGGATACAGAAATTGCTGCGCAAACATAACAGTGACCCGGGGCACACAGTGAGTGGTGGAGCAGGACTCAACGCTGGCCTCTGCTTTCCAAGCCCTGCACTGGACTGCCTACTCCACGGGAGATCTGAACTCCACGAGTGGACAATTAGCTCAATGACCCTGAGCAAGACACTAAACGTCTCTAGGCCTGGATAAGCATAAACCTTCTTCCTGCTCTGAATCAGCATTTCAGTTGGGGCATCAGCCCTGGCAGGCCCTGATAAGGTCCCGAGTCCACCCTTTGTTCTCTACGGCCTTGGCAACTAATGGAAATAAAACTCACAGGCAGCAGGAACCAGTTCCACTCTCTAGGTCAATATCCATTTGTCAAAAATTTGGCAAAAGTTGCATTTGTATTAGTGAAACCTCGGTATAGCTTCACTCATTGTATGACAGGATTTACGACATCTGTTGGAGGAATGGAGCTCCAAAAACCTTCAGCGTCAGAAAGTATATATAACGGAAGGAACAATTCTTGCACTGCCTGACATTTCTAATTTCTTTCCAACCCGCCTCCAGTTGGCCCCTGAGCACGTAGTGCTTTTTTTAAAATTTTTTTTTCAATTGGAGAATTCAGATGTTTTTTTTTTCTGTATGTACATCTGATTGCAGATTGAAAAATCACATCTACAAATTGTGTTGACAAGTAGGGAAAATGATTAACATACACTCAAATATTTGTTCAAGTAAAAAAGACATTATTTTTTTTTTCCTGGAGGAAAAACCCAGGCTAAAATGTTAAACTCTGGCGGACACCTACCAGAGCACACTAATGATGTCTTTAGGAGTAAGCAGGGGGACTGGTCTCTTCAATGCCAGTCTCAGAAAGTTCAGAATGTATCCACAAAGCACTTTTCTTTCATCCTTTTTTTTTTTTTTTAATTCCTCACCCGAGGATACTTTCCTGTTTATCATCAGATAGAGTGGGAGGGAGGGAGAGAGAGAGACAGAGACAGAGAGAAACACTGATGTGATAGAGCCACAGTGAATGGCTGCCTTCCGCATGACCCGACCGGGCCGGGGATGAACCGCAACCGAGGTACATGTCCTTGGCCTGAACCGAACTTGCAACTCATTGGTCTGTGGGCCAATGCTCTAACCCCTAAGCCAAACTGGCCAGGGCTCTTTCATCCTTAACAGATTGTAGACTTTTCATCACAAATTTAAATATTTTCGGAAGACGCTTATCTTCTTCCCTGTAGCCTTTCTCTGCAGTTCCAGAGTGTTTTATTCTGAACAGGGCAACTTCTAGCTGTTCATTCTGAAATCTGGGCCTGCCAAGTTTCAGCAATGGATTTGGAGTATGAGTCTTGGATTCTTTCTCTGTATTTCACGGTTTTCTAAATGGTGACCACATCAGCTTCAGTCTGGGTTGCCACACTGAAGAGCCCTAATCTCTCCTGACCTCACAGAACAGCTTGTTCAGCTTATCACACTGGGTCAGATCCGAGGTGTGTGTCATGTGGAGACAGGGTGTTCTTTCTGTCTTTTCTATTTATCAGGAAGACCAGGTAATCATTCTTTGAAATGGCATGTTTCATTAATTGATTTCATCTGATCCCTGGGACCCAGGAAATTAAACCACCCACTTGTGATCACTGTCAGCTACAAGCCAACTTAACCTACATCTTCCCCGTTTCCTCCCCTCCCGACTAGACCCGTTTCTGTTTCTCCCTATGATTAGTAGTTGCTTTTCTTTTGCTGTAAAATGTCAGAAACAAGGAGAGAAAGAATCCAAACAGGGCTTTGTTGTCACACAGGTCTGAGTCTGGACCCCAAACCCACGTGTGAGCGGTGGAACTGTGAGTAGGTTCAGCATTCCTGAGCCTGTTAGTTAGTAAAATGGGCACGGCTATCAAGCTGAAATAACTTGTCAGGTGTTTACTACAGGTTCTGGCAAATGGTATCTGAGGACAGCATCAATAACCATCATCATTTGGGCAAAGCGAGTGTCGTCTTAGCTTCACCAAGTAAGAGATTAAATGCAGGCTGAGGACAACAGCAGTCAATGGTCATCAAGCATGCCCTAGGTGCTGCGCTTTGTACCTCATTTACTGCATGCGTCAAACATTCGAATCCCACAATAATCACCAAAAAGCTAGATAGTAATCTGCCCTGTTCACAGATGAAAAATCTCAGATGCAGGGACTTGACAGGCTAGGCAGCCAGAACAGAAGCCGGGTCTGGCCCCCGATGTGCAAGAGTGCTGGTTTAGGAAAGGCCTCCATGCCTGGGTAGGCAGAGGCATTTGTCTAGTGAGGACTGGCAGGGGTGAGCCTACAGTGGGGATGTGGGAAGGATGAGACCCAGAGTGTTTATTTGCCTTACACCCTTTCTTTCTGTGAAGAGAAAATACCTGAACCAAAGGCTTGGCAGAATAGCTATGGAGATTATTTAATACTTTTCAGTGAAACTATCATCCGTGCATCCAAATGAGTTTTCCTTTATTTCCATTCTACCATGTTTGCTTTTCATGAGGCCATCTTTTCTCCCCCTGCAACACAAGGTTGGCCAACTAATATTGTTTGCAATTTTTTTTTGTTTGCTTAAGGCCTTCAAGAGCAGCCTATGATATTTTCAGTTTCCAAGTCTGAGAAAATAAAGATGTACTGGAATTTAGAACTCACTGTTAGAAAGCAGAAAATCACAAAGACCCTTAAAACAATGCTTCTAAGTAGAATCATGCTGCTGGGGACAATGCAGATTTGGTGCTCAGCCCACAGTCTGCTGATGTGTGTGTATGCCACTGCTGGAGACTTAGCTAACATTTGAAGAAAAATCCCCAAACCAGTCAAGTTACTGCAAAAGGCCTCTATGTATGTGCAGACATACACCAATAACATGGAGAAAGGCTTCTGGAAAGGGTCTTTTCAGCTTGGTGGTAACTTTAAACGACCAAAGGGGATGCCGCTTTGAGTGCTTCTGGGAGGATAATACGTGAAACCCAGTTGCCCCCTGAACTTTGGATATTGTTTTGCTTTAAGAAACCATTCATGAGAGAAGGTAGATCGATTACATGATTTAAAAGTTCACAAAGTAAAAACATACAAACGACAGGACCACCAAGTTTAGAAAACGTCCTACAATGTGCATTTTATTCCATATCATTATACAATGTTTATATATACAGTAGTCCCCCTTATCCATGGTTCCACGGTCTTTGGTTTCAGTTAACTGCGGTCAACCACGGTTGAAAAATATTGAATGAAAAATTCACAAACAAACAATTCATGTTTTAATTGAACGTCGTTCTGAGTAGCATGACATCTTGCGCTGTCCCGTCCGTCCCGCCCAGAACGTAAGTCATCCCTCTGTCCCGTCTCCACACTCTGGCTCTCCGCCCGGAGCCACCTAGTCGCTGTCTTGGCTATCAGATCGACCGTCTCAGTATCGCAGTGCTTGTGTTCAAGTGACCCTTATTTTACTCAAGAATGGCCCCAAAGTGCAAGAGTAGTGATGCTGGCAATTCGGATGTGCCAAAGAGAAGCCATGAAGTGCTCCCTTTAAGTGAAAAGGTCTGTATGTATAGGAAAAAACAGTATACAGGGTTTAGTACTATCCGCGGTTTCAGGCATCCACTAGGGGTCTTGGAACATATCCCCTGTGGATAAAGGGGGGCTACTGCAGTATAACTCTTAAGAAAATGTTTTTTCTTTATCAGTTGTAATGTAGTGCCTACATTTTCACTTTAACACGGAGAAACAAGAAGAGTGGAAATCCACATTGAGTGCTGGCCTATGGGTTGAAATGAGCTCCAAGTGTGCCATTTGGAAGGAAACAGATGTCTTAAAGGAGCAGTGTGGCTGACAAACCCTTGGCTTTAGTGAATTCAGACATACAGAATCCATACTCTCATCTCATAGTAAAACTTAAGACAAAATAAATTAGTGTTGGACAGAATCCTAAATTGTACAATATTGAACGAAAGACCACAGTGGGACCTTTTGTTTCAAGTAGCACCAATCCACACCTGACTGTTCCCAGAAGTAATCTTCCTGTTGACTAGATCGTTGGCACTTGGAGTGGAAATCTTTCTGCTTTAGTGAGGATTTCTAGGCTGACTAAGCATACTGTGTTGCTAAACTCTCTACGAAGTATGGCAACATCAACCTGGGGAATGGCACATTTAAATCATTGTCGCTCTGACATGGGCCTGCCTGCATGTGTATGTGTGTGTTCCCCCCACCCCCTGATGTAGCTGGTATTTGTGGATGTTTCTGTGACAGTGGTAAAAGTGAATAAAAATGCATTTAAGGGGTTTCATGGTAAGCATGGTGTTAAAAAACAAAACGAAATAAACAACAACAAAAATAACATGAAAGAATGTGGTCGCAGCTAAGGAGGTTTTCACATGTTGTTTAACTCCAGTAAAGTCTGATCCAGCATCTGATGCATACTAAGGTTTTCTTCTTTGGCATGAGCCACTTTCTCTGTGGTAGGATTAGAAAATTAAGTCATGAATAGCTGCGCTTTGGACACAATGGTGGTTTGTACATTTAGGCAAGCAAACATCAATCACAAACACAGGATGAGATGATTAGGACTAGGCATGCTTGTAAGACATTACTCATTTCCAGACAAGGACCTATGGAGAGGGAAGCCGTCTCTGACCCGCAGACAGCAGGGTCTCACCGGGCGGCCAGGTGAGCCTCCACCAATAGTCCACGCTGAGAACACAACACAGGTGGGTTGGTGTAGGCTCACTGGCCTGTGCTGCGGGAACAGGGAGAGGTGCTACAGCACTGAAGTTAATGACAGCAGACAGGTCTGAGCTACAGGCAGTTAAAGGTTTGGGAGCTGTGCTGTAACACAATCCCACAGAAAACAAAGGTGACGTAAATAGGTTTTTTGACAACTTTTGAAATGATTTATTTCTGTTGCTCATTAAAAACAATTATCAACATGTTTCATGCACACTTCAGTAGGACATTCTCTTACTATTCTTAGTGTTCTATTTATTATCAGCATGACATTCTCACCAGATTCCAACAACACCATTAGACTGAATAAAAGCATACCTTTCAGACAATCAGGGACTTCTGACATGAGCTCCTGTTTTCAAAAGCTATTTTGCCCAAGCATAGGTACATTTAATCATATTTCAAACACTATACCAGATATTAAGAAGTTAGGAAAATGAATATGTAATAGGAACATATATAATATATATATTACATCATATATATATGCATATATATATATATATAGTTATACACATACACACCCCTCTGCTTTGGCTTTTTAACTTAAAGTGGGGCTCAGTTCTCTGTAGGAAATAAAAAACAATTTTTTGACGTCTTCATTATGTACCAGTTCAAACAATGGACCTCCTGTTGCAAAGAGGAGTGCTAAACTGACTGTTATGAATATTTATTCATATACATAATGATTGTATTTTACCGTAAAAGCTATTTGGGGATTAGAGAGAACTGAAATACTCCAGATAGAAGAGGAAAATGCAGGCAAGGCCAGTCTTTCAGCTGAAACCTTTCATACACATTTCCACAAAAAGCATCCCTACAGTTGAAGGTGTAACAGTCTTAGATTTCCTGACCATGGGCTCCTTTCCTAGAATTCAGCCCAAGTTCTTTCCCACTTAAAGTTAATCCTCATTCAGGGCCAGCTTTAGTTGGTTAGTTAGGCGGCGGTTTTGCTCAAGTTGCTGGTAGAGTTGATCTGTACAGGTCAGCAAGCAGGTTAGCAGAAGAGAAGAGGCAGAAGAAGAGAGGTTAGCTGGACTTGGAGAGAGGGAGTTAGCAGACAGAACACAGAGATACCTCCAGCACTGGTTACTTGCTGGACAGTTACCCTTACCCCATGGTCATCTGTCCTGTGCCCAGGAAGGTGGGTGGTAAAGGCCTGGCAGACTCAGGAAGAGCCAGGATTTCTCTCTTGGTGGGAGGGGAGGGGGGGGGGAGGGAGCAACAGGACAGGAGGAGAGAGAGTGGACATTCCTCTCACACCTCATACCACCACCGCATGAGCGGAGCTGAGTGCAGTTTCTGACAACAGCCGGAGGAACCCAGGCAGGGCTGGAGGCGAGCCCAGCACAGCATCCACTCCTTGCTAGGGCTCTGGGGAGCCTCAGCCTGCCTCACCTCTTCCCGAAGCCCTTCTCACCTCCATTCCGAGGGCTGGCTTCCTTTCAGGTAGTACCAAGAGGGGGCTACCACGGCTGCAGTAACACTTTTTAAAATGCAGAACTAAGTTCCCTGTCCCTGTCCCCCAATCACCATGATATAGGGTGCAAATTCTGAATTCTCATCCAGTTTTGATACAGGGTGGGTGTTACCCTACTCCAACAGCCAAAGAACAGGAACCTATCTCCATTCAAAACTGACTTAAATTGTATCTTTACTTCTTGAAGGTATTATTTATGTTTGAGTTAGATGGATGTGTATAAAATGAACAAAATCTCGAACACCTACATGGAGATCAACATGATATAAATTTTATACATTGGCATATAATTGACTCCCTTGGCTAGGAAACCAACCACAGGAGTCACTCTGTATCAGATGATCCAGGGACACCCAGACAATGACAAAAGCCTGGCACCTACCATGAAAACCTGGAGGACACATGCCTATTTCGAGTGATGGTGACAATCGGAGCCCAGAAATTCTACTTAATGATCTTGAAAAGCTGAATGTCCTACCCCTGGAGAAAATGAAAATGTCCAGTCTCTAGCCCAGGTCTGTTGGGAAATTGATTCTTACTTTAATGTTCTCTTAAACATGGTTGAGATAGGGAATAAGTTGTAGTCATTATGTTTTCTAGCTTGAAATATTTTCTGCCTTGTCCTCTTTGCTCATCCAAAATGTCTGAATATTCAAAACCCTGGCCAAATGTCACCTCCCCCAGGTAGCTCCCAGTTCTTTCTTCCTCTTTGACTCTAAATATACACCACCTATTAGTTCGGACTCACTTTATTCACCGACCTTCCCATCAGATGGCAAAGAATATTTCCGATCTATCTATTTACCACAGCCTGACTGCCTTCCACAGTGTCTTGTATATGGCATATATTTGGGGGTTTCAAAATCTAAACCCCACGAGTACATTAACACTGTCGCATAGACAGGCAGGGTGTCTCCATTTGCTGAGCCAATGTTCAGCCGAGCTGGAATGGAAGAATGTTGGAGAAACCCTAGGGAATTCAGAGAATCATTGTGAATTCAGCGTAATGAAAGCTGTCCCTGCCGCATCCTCCTAGGGACCTGTTCCCTTCAGCTGCACTGGAGCTGGTATGTCTGGGTGGCCTGAGGGCAGGACTATACTTATGGAAAGTGGGAAAGTCTCTGAGAGGGTTTCAAAGCAACAGATGTGCCTCCAGAATTAGCTGAACGTGTGCTCAGCAGAACATCAAGACTTTGCCATTTGTCTGCTGCTGGAGCAGGGTTCCTCAGAGAAGGGACCACTTCTATTACTCTGAATTTACAAAACAAGGCAGGAATCATAGTCAAAAGCAGGTCCACGGAGCCTTATGAAAAGAAAAACATGAAATTACAGAAGTCTCTATAGTCTCAGGAGAGATACTGTCCAGAACCTAAATTTTAAAGAGTCCACTGTACCATTGCTAAAACACTTGAATGTACGACCCTCTTAAACAGAATGTTTATTATCTGCTCTGAAATCTGTGTAGAGTAACTAATATTATTTTCAGCTTGTCCAAATTTACTTGAGTATAAATAGTGGTATACCAAATATATGAAATAGTGGTATATCAAACCTCCTAGGCTAACAGAAACTACACACAGACAGATAAAAATCACTCATACTTAAAACACAGGAGAAATACAGCCACACTGGTGAGGAGGGAGCAATGTTGGAAATTAGAAAACAAAAGTCCACATCATTATAAAGTGATAATTTTGCAATGTGTTTTTTTAATCACTTAATTGCTATTTGTGAAGTAAATAGTAAAGCCCAAATAAAATGTAATTGTAATTCTGAAGTTTGTTAATGACTACATTTTAAAAGTGTCCACAAATTAAAAACAAAAACTATGACAGTTATTATTGCAAAGATTATTTATGTACAATCCCCCCTAAAGAATACATAATGTGCTTAAGAGCACAAAAATAAATACCAATATGAATATAATCAGATTTAGAGAACTTGAGATGTCATTTCATAATCAAAATGAAATTAACTGTTCTTTGTGATATAAAAGGAGGATCAACAACAACCTCAACTTACATAGTTTAATCTAGGTTCTTTTTCACATTCCCAGTATGTAAATTACTAGCGAAGTGGAATGGCAATGGAGGCTTTCATCAGCTGGCCACGCCCTCTGACCCGAGGCGGGCCATCTAAATGTCCTCACAGAGGGCTCAGGCATCCCCGACTAAACCTCTGGCAGAGGAAGGTGCAGCGCGGGGCAGATCTTCCAGCTCCAGCAGTGAGTGTCTCCTGTGCAGAGGTTCTAAGCTGGGCTACATACCAGAACCCTTACAATCTCTATAGACACAAATACCCAGGACCTCACTCTAACTTTTGGAAACCAAAACTCTGAGGGACTCAGGCATGGAGTATTTATTTCTTTATTTCCTCACCCCAGGACATGCTGAGAGAAAGAAAGGGAGAGAAACATCGACTGGTTGCCTCCAGTACAAACCCCAACTGGGGATCGAACCTGCAACTCAGGTATGTGCCCTGACAGGAAACTGAACCAGTGACCTTAAGGGGCACAGGATGACCCTCAACCAACTGAGCCACTCTGGCCGGGCATACGTACTTTTTAAAAGTTCCACAAAAAACTACTGCCTCAGAAACTCTTGATATTAATGTATAATGTTCAGAATGCAAAAGAAAAGCAGTAGCCAAAAATTAACCCTCACATGCGTGAAGCAGATTTGTAGTTTTATTCAGTGTTGAAACTAAACTGTGAAGTAAGAAGAATAGCAAACAGAAATGGCGTAAGAGTTTATTTTACACTGAAATGAAGAGCTTCTGTACAACAGGAAGCACAGGGCGTGCCTGGCCCTAAGGCAGGATGCTAAAAGAACCGGGTCAGCTGGAGGAGAGACAAACTGCAGAGCTCAGAGAGGTGGAGCTCCCGGCTGGATGAAGGGGTCTTGGGAGAAGTGAAGCAAAGAAACTTATCTGCATGAAGAGAAAAGGTGAGAGACAAAGAAAACAAGTGGCACAATGGAAAAAAGGAAAACCAGACCCAGAGGAGAGCAGCACTGGAAACACAGGCGAGAAGCAGACATGCAAAGCCGCGGCCAGCTGCACTGGTGGGTCATCCTCTACCCGCCTCAACCCCTCCGCTGTGTCTGGACCCCAGGCATCACAGGGCCCCTCTGGGCAAGGGTCCATTTTAAGGCGACCCATGAACAGAATTTAAAAACAGATTTTGAACTAACCCCATCTTTCAGGGTATTTAATCATACTTGATGCTTCAAATGTTCCACACAGAAGCATCACATTAATGGTCTTATGGAAAAGACCTTGGAGGCAGATGATCTGACCCACCCTCTCATTGACAAATGAGGGAAGAGAGGATGACATGCTTTCCAGTTTCCAAGGTGACTGTCATGTCTCTAAGGGTAGTGTGGGGATTCTATAAGCTATAAGGCAGCTGGCACATGCCACACTCTTCAAGCTGCCATTTTTCTGCACGGGTAAAGGGAGGGCAGGTGGGCACGGACAATGAAATTTCCAGCATATCCAGAATTCAGTGCCAGATATTACAATGAAGAGAACCCTCTGTGAAACATTCCAGGTTAGAACTCAGAGGCAGAGTAAGTTTAACATCTAGGTTTGGTTAGTAATATGTAAATTAGTTGTGTATGCTTAAGGTTCTCATGAGAGTAAGACTATGTACTCCAACACTTACTACCTCACAGTAGTAAAAGCTGGGCCATTAACTCCCAAATTCATATCGTATTGGGTTTATGTCCCATTTCTTTGACACAAGTTGTGGTTTTTGTTGGAGGTATTTTAATTCCTTTTGCGTATAAAGAAAACCAAGGCTTGGTTACTCAGGAGAGGGTTCATGTCTCCCTACGGTCTTCGCAGGGAGAAGAGAGAGTGTTGTACAGCTGTACCAGATGTTTCCTTTCCTTCAGAGCCTCAGCAGTCTGATACTTAGGGTTCTTAAATTTATATCTCTTTAGAAAATGATCATATTTTATTTAACTGAATCTCAGAAGATGATTTTCAGTCGTTCTTTGGGAAGCTTCTGTACACAGCTCCTAAGTTTACTCGAGCCTAATTTTATTTCCGGAGAGTGCCCAAGACATTCACATTCCGGTGCACTGCTCTGTGGGAACCATCTCGCTTAGAGACTGAGAAATGAATGGATTCTGAAGGGAACGTGGTTTGTACAGACAGACCTAATCTACTTGGCCTTTGTATTAGTAGAATGTGAAAAAATGATGACTATCCTAGTTATGCAGAGAGTAAGCAGAAAGGTGTACAGGTGCAGATTCTGAAGCCACAGAAGGGAGCAGGGGTGAGTTTGCCGTATTAGCATGAGCGCACGGTGTGAGCAGGCAGGGTGGATGAACATTTACATGGAAGTCATATCGTTGAGAGCGTGGTCCAGCTCCTCGCTGATGGCTTTGTACTTCAGTTTCTGAGCGTACAGCTCGTCTATGACCAGGAAGTGGAAGGCAGAGGTGCAAGGACATGGAGAGTGATCAAGAGATGGAGGGTGAGTGAGGGTGGCATGGGCGCCATCCCAACACAGCAGCAAGAAAAGGGCAATGCATGAAGGAAGTGATGCCGCAGCAGGTGGCCAATGCAGGAGGCGTGCGTTTTGTTTTAAAATGAGTTGAAACAAAAACAAAGAGAACAAAACCCATTAGAAAATAAAACCAGAAAGATGCAATATGAAAATCATAACAAATAGGGTAGGTACAGCAGTAAACCACGTTAAGTCCTAAACAAAACCACAGAAGGATGTCTCCTGGGTGAGTAATAGAACGTCTTTCTTTTCTAGAGCTATTTTTTAATTACACTGGCGTAGTCAGCCAACTGCAACTATGAACAGTTGAAAAAATATCCAAGGGCAGTTCATGACTACAGTGTTATCCTTATCTGGCTCCACCTTCAAACCACTGACTCGCTGACCGGACTAGACCACTGGGATACGGGTTTCTTAGTGCCCTGTATACCCCTCGTGGTGTTCCCACTCAAGCTGCCCTGGTAGTGGCCCAGAAGGCCTGGCAAGCGAGAAAAGCCACACTCTTTCTGGTGGTGCCGTGCCAAGTCTGCAATGTAGTTTCTGTAACGATGGCTTCAGACTCTGCCACTGGGACAGACGGTGTGCAATCAGTTGTCACCTCTCCTCTCTACCAGCTTGGTTGTCAGCTGCACCGACCCTCAGTCCCTTCTTTAGCGCCTTCTGCCTTGAATGTTTATATTTTATGTATTTTTTTCCTTCTTTCTTTTTTACTGCTGACCCTTCGCAGGCCTCTGAGTTCAACATTTAGGATTTCTGTGACATAGAGTGGGTGCTACAATAAACCCTAACTGTCTTAGGAGAGAAATGCTTAAGTGTAATCTCAGAATACAATGTCCTGTTATCCCCCACTGCTTTCGGTTCACAGAGCATGTACCAAGATAACTGACGACACAAAACCCGACCCTGACACTGAATTCATACTAGGAGGTAGATAGGTTATGTCTAAAAACAAGTCCATACCAACTGACAATGGGGAGGTCTCACTAAGGACAGAAAATATACTGGCCATTCTCACCTATAACCACCTTACCCGCGATGGAAAATAGCCTTGCCTCATTTCTGAGGCGTGCGAGGTAAAACTGGATGGCATCAGCCATTACAAAAAAGGCGTGCCCTGTCTGGTGGCTCAGTCACCTGGCGAGCAGAGGACTCAGGTCCAAGAGCTTGAGAGCCACAGAATGAAACCCCAAGGACAGACAGGAGGAATGTGCAAGAGCAAAGGAGTAGATTAAGGCGAACACACTTGGAAATCGTTTTGCCAAGTCAATAATCAATTGTAAGGATTCAATTAAAAACAAAACTTAGTATCTTACCTTCTAAGTCATCAATGCTCTTCTCCAATTTAGTTACTGACCTCTCCGCAAACTCAGCCCGAGTCTCAGCCTGTAATGATTCAATTTGTTTCCATTAAAACTGGGACATTTTTAGATTTCTAGGAGTGACAAATACAGGCAAAAACTAGAAAATGGAAAACAAGCACAGCACCCACAAAATGGGTCAAAAAGGACGTGCCAGTCGGTCACTACAGTGACAGGTGGCAGCTAGCCACCGCACAAGAACCTGGTACCACCTCTGAATATCCCCAACATGGATCAGCACAACTTTAACATGAAAAGGCCCTGGCCTGCTCCATAAAAACAAGCCTTTTAAAAATTCAGGTGGCTTTGCCCAAAACATTCATAATATTACCTCCTTCAGCTTGTCAGAAAGGACCTTGATCTCTTCCTCATATTTGTCTTCCTTCTGAGAGTACTGTAATTAAAAGGACGTTCCAGATGTCAGGCCACAGATCATGCTATACTCCTGTCTCCTAACACAAAGACAGCGCCAGCCCAGCAAACAGATGTTGAGGACCTCTCAGGCGGTAATGGAGCCTCTGAGATCAGGTGGCGTAGGACAATACCGGCTCTGTTTCCCTGCCTATTGTTTTACATAGGATGAGAATAAGATAACATCCATTTGGCACTGGGTTTAAATTAAATTGTTACAGATGACTCACATACTCAACATAAAATATATTCTCAATAATAATAATAAAAAAGAATCTGTTATTCCATAACCATCAGGAAATCACCTCAAAATGGTGCCATTTACTGAAATGCCTGATGGACTACTGCTTTTATTGGCAGGGTCTTCAAAGAGAAAAAGTGAGTGTCTTTTGAGAGGCTCTGAAGATGCCTTTCCCCCCACACCGTGCTCCTGGCCTACCTTCTCAGCCTGAGCCTCCAGTGACTTCAAGTTGTTCGTCACCGTTTTCAACTCTTCTTCAAGCTCGGCACATTTGCTAACGTTTCGATCAGAGGCAGAGAGGGTGGGAGACAAGCCAAAGGAAGAAGGAGAGAAAAAGGAGAGGGATGGGAAAAAAATGAAAACCGAGTCCTAGAGAACAAAGGGCTGCCTTAAAGTAGCCAAATCATCAGGTAGTAAAACACTGACTTTTGCCATGGACGTTGCCTCCCAACCTTGTAAAAGCAAAAAGGCAGGGTGACAAAATCCAACAACTTTGCAGTGTGATAATTTGGCTTCTTTTTCAGCTGCACCAAAGAGCATTTATGAAGGAAAAACAAAGGAGTATAAAGAACCCAAAGAAAGCATTTAAAGCAAGATATACGACAGCAGAGGGTGTAGTGAAGGTGCAGTCGTTATACCAAACGAACCAGTAGGTATTGGAAGCTGAAAGACATCTGGGTTGGAGTTAAACCTAAAAACCACACATGAGCCATCAGTACCTTATCCTCTGCAGCCATTAATGCTTTCAAGGTCTGATCCATTATTCTTAATTGTTCTTCCAGCTGTCGAACTTGGCTGTTAGTGGACACAGGAAATGCACAAGGCCATTCTCAAAATCAGTGTGCAGGTAAGGCATGCAGTGAAACACGCATTCATACACAGACACCCCACACAAGTCCTCCGTGTTCTAGACTCGTGGCTCATCCATGGCAAATGAGTACATAAGGAGCCCGGAGCTGAAACAGGTAAATGTGCAGCTGCCAGAGGTCATGCTGTTTAGTCACTGCTTTGTAGCACCCCACACACAGCGTCCTGGCGCAGGGCCTGCTTACCCTTCTGAGAGCTCAGCCCGCTCCTCTGCACGTTCCAGGTCACTCTCAATGATGACCAGCTTACGAGCCACCTGCAGCAGGACAAACACAAAACACACACGCACACCATGGGCTTGCAAGCTTTGAGTAAGGAGGTGTGGGGGTGGGGAATGGATCCATCAGCCCTTAGAAGATCTTGTCTACAAATAAGATGATCCCCTTTTTCTGTGTACTGGAGAGAAGCTACTCTCCATCAGGAGTGCCAGTGGAGAGGAGAACAGAGGCTTCTGTTCACAGGGACCCAGAATGATTTGTTATGAATGGGCAGTCTCAGCTTAAGTCTGACCCCGGTGAAGTCTGTATAATTACATAGCAGCCAAACCAAAGTGTAGAAGAAGGGAAAAATATGAAATTCACAACCTCAAAAATAGCAGTATGATGAGACATAATGCATTTTATGCCAAAAAGGTAGGGGCTGCCAAGGAAACGGTGAAAATAATCCTGAGAACTCCATCCATTTAGAACTCTGTACCTCAACCTCCCTTTTGTGAAGGAGGTTATAATTGCCAACAGAATAGCAAGAGAAGCTAACATGAGATGACTAATGAAGTCAAATTTGTCTTTAGTGAAAGAAAAAACCTGAGAGAAGGGATCCTCTGAAGCATTTCAAAATTAGGGGGTGTAATGTAATCTGGAAATAATAATGGTAATAATAATAAAAAGCAGAGTCAATGCTGCTTAATGGACAGCCATGGTCCATTAAGGGCACAACTAAAACCTTAACAGTTATGCTGTTCTGTTATCATAAGAAGTATTTTCATGGGGATATGACCAGAGGCTAAATTCTACCACCTTGAGGAGAGAGGAGGGCAAATTGAAAATGTCCTCGGTGAATCAATCACTCAAGCAAGTGCATGGTCCGTGTCTCTGCTGCCTGAACAGGACCATGCTAGGTCAGTCGCACCAAGAACTGCTTGCATGGTGATAGCATGAGGGGCTCCTTCCACAGACACAAGAGGCCAACTCTCCCTTCTCCTGGCCAAGGATCTTTTGTCCTAGTCTTTAGGGGGCAGGGGGAGAAGCTCTAGTCTTTCCTAGTGCTACTGATTTGCTTCATGATGAAGCCTAGGATCCCCAAGCAGGATCAAATAAGAACTATTTTCCGCAGACAAAGGAACTCTGCTTCTCAAAACCAGACATTTCTGCCAAGGAAGCTGACTGTTTCACCGAAGAATGCAAGGCTATATACACTGCTCCTGCTCTGCCCCCCTGGGCCACTGCTGGGGGTCCATGAGGCTTTGGGCCCCAGGATCTGACCTCTTCATACTTGCGGTCGGCATCTTCAGCAATGTGCTTGGCCTCTTTCAGTTGGATCTCCTGAATTTCCATTTTCTCTTCATCCTTTTGGGCTCGACTTTCAATGACTTTCATGCCTCTGAAAAGGAAGACAAGCAACAAGACCCAAGATTTAGTGTTGACCTCTGCAAACCCACACACTGCACTGCAGTGGTTTGTGATGCTTAGTGTGACTGGCAGACCAAAAGAGAGCACAGGGCTACTTTTATTTTCCAAGCCATGAAGCCAGTTTCCAACGCTGAAGGCAGAAAGATATATACTTCTGTTTATTGCGAATGAAACCTCACACTTCTGGTACCACTGAAACTGTCTGGGAATCTAATGTTAAATGAAAGGTACCACGTGAGGATCCTGTTTGAAACTGGGAGGCAGGGAAACAGGAGCGGCCAACATGCTTTACTTGCTATATAAATAATAGAATTCCTTCCCTTTCCTGGTGGGAAGCTTCAGCTTGAAAATGGACCAAAGTTAGAACAAAAGCATATTTATCTTCATACACTTCCTTCTACAAAGAAGGTAGTTGTCTTTACCCCATCAGCAACAAATATAAATATTAGACTGAACCATACGAAATGCTGATATTTGGCCATGTCAGGCCCGTAAAAATAGCAGTTTCATATGAGTCAACCTAACACTTTAGATAAAAAACTATGAGTTTTGCCTTAATGGAAATCTTTCATAATAGAGGTGTTGATAGGCGGGACTGACACCATATTCCATACTGATATGTATGTTTGGCTCCTATGGCATGATGTTAAATTTTGGAAAATGTTTACAGATTTATAATATATTACAGATTTATGGAATAACAATTCATGTTAAAATGGGATTCAATGACCAAACTTTAAGTAGGCAGTAAGATAAACAAGCCGCTATTTTCTGATGAAGCACTACAATATGTTTAAGGAGTCTCAAGTTCTAGCCTTGGCTCAACTTAAGTTGGCTGTGAGACTTTGGGCAGGCCACATCAGTCTCTGAGACCTAGTTTTCTCATTTGTAAAATCAGGGGACTGGAGTAAATGATCTTGAAATTCCTTTTTACCTCAAAGTCTAACATTGCCAGATTCAGATCATCGCCTTTTAGGTTCGTTAACAAGTGTATTTCAGGAAGAAGTCAGCCACAAAACCACTGGTATGTGTGCACTGCTGGAGATGATGAGTCATCTTAAAGAATTCCAAAACTCTTGGTTAGAGAAGAAACAATAACCAGCAGTAAATTATGAGCTGAAAACTTCAGCTAAAACGTTTCTTTAATCCTAAAGTCTGAAATCACTTTTTATCCATGGTGGAAAGGAACTTCCTATATGGAGAAACTGGACAATGTGACTGATTGCGTTCCCTTGCCCAAGGCACAGCACAGATCTATAGGTCCAGTGTTCTGAGCCATCACACTACTTTGTCATCCCTTAAGCAGTAGAATCTCTCGTTACAGGGAGTCTTTCCAGGAGTGTTCCTACGCAATAGGAATACATTCCCTTCAACAGTTGTGCATAAGAGAAAATGCTGTCTAAAACACACGGAGTTGTGCTGGTCTATAGGGCCGCGGTTTTCCTTTACTACCACAAAGCTGAATCTTGGAGCAATAAGTCAGGTAGAGCCAGGTTACTGTGGGAGCAGGCTCAGAAGACACAAGTGTATTTACGTGTGCATGTGTCTTAAGCATTACTCAGCCCAAAAGAAGGTACTTTTGCAGATCATATTTCTGTTTTATCTGTGTTTTCTCTTTCACCTATTTTTTGGGCTATTCCACAACTGAGAGCCCATTTTTATTTAAGCCTAAGCCTCTCTGGTATGTTTTAAAAAGTTATCTTTTAATAAAATGTGTAATTGCTCTGGGGTCAGCAGGAATGAAAGAACGATTATGCATCCTTAGAATTTCTTGTTTACACATCCATCTCCCTTGATGGATAGTGAGGCCTATGAGGCCAGGAAAAAAATCTTTTTCTTCTTTGTAACCTTGGGGTAAGAGCCCCTACGTGCTTTGTCTAAAAGCACCTATGTTAAACAAAACCAACAAATTAACCACTAGTGTTTTTTTTTAATCTTCACCCGAGGACATTTTTTCCATTTTTTGTTCGGAGAGAGAGGAAGAGAGGGAAACATCGGCGTGAAAGGGACACTTCGAGTGGCTGCCACCCACACGACCAACCAGGGCCGGGGACAAATTGCAACTGAGGTATGTGCTCTTAGCGGGAACCGAACCCAGGTCTCTCTGGACTGCAGGCCAAAGCTCTAACCACTGAGCCAAACTGGCCAGGGCTAACCACTAGTGTTAAATGAACAAAACCAATAAAGTTATACCTGGGATCAAATGAGGAAATGATCCCACCAAAGGACTGTAACATTAAATCTCAAGATCAGAGAAGCCCTCCCAGTCTACCAGGAGGAAAGGCTGATGCTAAAAACTGGGCAGGGTGAGGCGCCCTCACCTCTCACTCTCGTCTGCTGCCTTCTCAGCCTCCTCCAGTTTCTGCAAAGCTGTTGCCAGGCGCTCTTGGGCTCGATCCAACTCTTCCTCAACCAGCTGGATGCGTCTGTTCAGAGAAGCTACATCAGCTTCAGCCTAGGCAGAAGAGAGCGAAAGGCATTTCAGAGCTGGGGCAGGGGTGTGAGGGGAGTGCCTTCAGGATGTGGCCAAGACTGAAACACTAATTTCAGATGGGAAGCCTGGGCCTTGTGGTGAGTTACCCTTAAGCGCATTATAAGCCCTGGTCAACTTGGGAGTTCTGGAATATGTTCGTATATTGCTTTATACATGGAATGTCCACATTTGTATATATACAAATCCATAAACACCATTCTCATTGGAAAGATGGACCATTAGCAAATGCTCTCTCACTTGGCTCTTTTCTTCCATAGATTTCAACACACTGGCTTCACCTGACTGTTAAAGGAGAACTTCACTATAGCACCCCATTCACTGGGGGCCTGAGGTGGGGACAGAGACGACACGGCTTATCCAGGCTTAGCCACATAAGGCAAGAGCAGTACAGCCAGAAATCAGACTTGGGAGCCTCAGTTCTCCCTTTTTCCAGTCCATTTTCTTAAGGGGGCCTTATAAAGGAACTAAGATATTTCCAAATTCAGTGGTTCTAAAATATGTACCATACAGACACAACTAAATCCTTCCCCCTTTTCGGCAACCCCTTTAGAGTAACAGTCACACTGGAACAGAGCCAAGACATTTGTGTCCGACATAAGTCTAATGGAATTTCTTACAAGTCAAGGTTGCTACAAGAAAAGTTTCAAAATCCTTAGGAGAAAAACAGTACAGATACTGTTTTGATTTGTATCTATCTCTGAAATAAGATGTTTCTTTCTTGGGGATGCAATGATCACCTACTGTTTTAAACTAAGGGCCTCTGAATGCTTGGACATCTGATGGTTGGTTACACACAACTGCACTGGTAGCTGTTTACATATTATGCATGGAAGTGAGATATGGAATTTATTAATCAGATACCATATCTTCATCCTCAACCATTTTTAGTATCTGCTTATCATGGGGTGATGGGTTTTCAAGACACCTAGAGAGTTTTCTAAAAATTATAATACACACTTGGGGACCTATGCTAGTCCTCAATCTACATTCCTGTCTACTCAACTGTATGCTTCTTAGATGCAGGGAATCATGGTTCTCTGCAAAGTATGAGCTCAGGAAATGAGTAAAATCAAGCTAATTTAAACAAAAGCAACTTTCTTAGCTCATGGACTTATGATTTACACAGTCTGAAATGCACATACAGTTAGAGGGAGGCTGTGATTATGGCCATGAATCAAAGGAATACAAGAACATTCAGTTCTTTGCTCATCTGTGCCAAGTTTTGTCTGGGAAAGAGAAGTGATTAGGGCATTTGGTGAAGGACTCTATAGAAACATTCAAATATACTTTCATCTTGTCAAGAATTAACTATGTAGTAAAAATTGGTTGATGGAAGCAGGAAGCAGGGGGAAACGTGAAATGAATCTGCGGAGGGCAGTTTACAACTGTACTGGCCTACAACAGAAGTCATTGGTGCACAATGAGTAATGGGCGACACTAAGTCTGACTGGCAGGTGACTGTTGGTTGTTTTGGAGGAGGGGTGAGAGTAATAGGGATAACACAATTCTTAAGTATAGGAAATTGTTTTTTGTAAGTCTGTAGCTCTATTTTTAAAAAATTAGAGGCAAAAAAAAAAAAAGAAAAGAAAAGACAAAAAAAATCAATAAAAAATTAGAGGCAGTATGCATTAAGGGTATACTTTTGGGTCAGGTCAGCTTTCTTCATTTTTCCGTATTTTCCATGTCTATTCTTTTATGAACAGGGGAAACCAAGTAAGCAACTCTCAAAGTTAAAAATAAATATGAAGAGCAAAATCAAACAAAAAACCTCAGTAGAGTGTCTAGATCATGTACTCAAAAGTATTCCTCCTTTCTTTCCTTATTACTATTAATATAAAGGCAAGTATCCTTGTTATAGGTGGTGTGGCCAGAGAAATGTCAATGAGATTTTTTTTTTTTTTGCATTTTTTGTAGCCACCTCATTCAAAGTTTCCTGCTCTGCTTTCAATCTGGCCCCAGCACTCCAGACTTTGTACTTATTGAAAGGAGACTGTTTATGGCCTGGGGATAGAAACTTTTGGGTGACAGGCCAGTCTAGGTCAGCTCTCCACACAGCTGGGTCATCAGAGATTAAGGGGACAGCACCTCATGTTTATTTCCATCTCTGCACACAAGATCTCCCTACCCGAGAAGTCCCCCTAGCAATCTGTATCTTTCTTCCCTCTTATCCCCATCCCCCCACACATCTGTTATTTCCTTTAACTCTGGACACTGTTTTACAAATGTCACTAACTCTTTTCTCCTAGGAGCATTTTGTAGAACCTTATACTTCTTGACATCACAGGTTGTAACCTATGAAATAGCAGCCAACAGGGCCTCATGTAGGGTACACAAGCAATGAGTGAGAATGAAGATCCGTTCCAGGAGCCAGGACTGGTGCACACAGAGATCAGGCCTAAGAGTGGTCTGAAAAACAGAGGCTTCAATTGATTAGCAGGAAGGGCCAGCTAATCATCTAGCTAGGCTTCGTCCAGCAGTTCCCACAACTGGCTGAATGTCAGAATCCACTAGGAGATGTGTGCTAAAAATAAAAGCTTCCAGCCCGTCCAGTGTGGCTCACTGGCTGAACATTGACCCATGCACCAAGAGGTCACTGGTTTGATTCCCAGTTAGGGCACAAGCGTAGGATGTGGGCCCGATCCCCAGTGGGGGTCGTGCAGGAGGAGGCCAACTAATACTCTTGCATCATCAATGTTTTTCTCTCTCTTTCCCTTTCTCTCTCTCTAAAATAAATAAAGAAAAAATATTTAAAAAAATAAATAAAAACTTCCAGCCCCTACCCCTGGAGATTCTGATTCAGATCAGAGGGGAGGACAATGATCTGCACTATAAACAAGCAACCTGTTCCACTCCTCCACCCTGGCCACCCTACCATCTAAAAGAAGTTGGCAAATTCCGTGGGAACCACTCTTCTAGCTCTTCCTTCAAAAGAAAATAGGAGTAGGGTGAGATCTTTGACCCAGAATGCTGACATATGCTTAGGTCAGCAGCTGTGAGTGGGAGACAAGAGTATAATCCCAGTTGTCTGGCTCCTGGTGCACTGACTCTGTCACTTCTCCTCACGGCCTCTGGAACATATAGAAGCCCTGGAACTGTTGCTTCTCAGCCCTGGAGTCTTCCTTCTTCCTCAGTCAGAGTGGGAGGTTCTCTCAGCCCTCCCCTTGCCCCCCCCCCCCCCAATGGCCTTTAGTGACAGAGATGAACCAGGACTAGAATCTACTGTATTAAATATCATCTGCCCGGCCGGCGTGGCTCAGTGGACTGAGCATACATGGACTGAGAAGTCCCGGTTTGATTCCTGGTCAGGGTACATGCCCAATTGGGGCTCGATCCCCAGTAGGGGGTGTGCAGGAGGCAGCCAATTGATGTTTCTCTCTCTCAAAAAAAAAAAAAAAAAAAAAAATTAATAAAAATGTATTTTAAATAAATAAATAAATAAATATCATCCACTAAACGAGTCCTCTCAATCCTTTCTGAAATAAGCTGTGATATATAATCAAAAACTCCATCAAGTAACACTAATGGGTAACTGCTCCCATTCGAACACAGGGCACTTGCTCTCAATCCCAGAAGCAATGCCTGCTGCCCCAGAGGTTTCAGAGCAGGACCAAGGTGCCTGCAGGTTACTGGACCTGAGAGCAGTGTCTGGGGTACATCTATCTCTACTCTCATTGGCTTTTCAGGACCTACCCTACTGGTCTGATAGCAATTTTGTTTGGTTCCCTAGAAGTCACCTCTTTTTTTCTCTTATGTTTCCTTTTCCTTGGGGGGGGAGGGGTTATGTTCTGTGTTCAAAGGCCTTCACTAGCTTTTATTTCTGGTACGTGTTTTCTAAGTTCTGCGTTAGATACTTTCTAAGGTTCCTTTCAACACAGCAACTGGGCAGTCTACTAAAGACTTAACCTGCTGTTGTCTCTGCCAGCACAAGTCTACAGCCACATGACCATCTGTCATTTAAAAAGCAGACATAAATAACAAGACGTTTGGGAAAGGTCAAGACCCAAGACGCAAATTATTTCCAGGCACAGAAATCACCCTCAGTGTGCTGGGTTAGTGTCTTGTAACAACAGTACATGTGTTGATGCTGTTGGAGAAGTCTTTCAGTTTGGGATGCTAGTTTCTTTTATCCCCAAAGTACTACTGTATCCCAACATGTAATGGGCTACTCAGAAAAGAGATTGCTACATTAGTAAAGGATACCAACTGTCCTGCAGATGTGTTGTTAAACAATACTCAAGAGCTCTGCACTTGTGAAGTACCTGAGTTAGTTGCTGTTGCATGGTCAGCCCTATCTCCCTTGAGTACCCCCCTCCCTCTAAGGTATTAGCTACCTATACAAACAACAAGGGCAGACATACCACTTCCCTCCCCAGGCCACCCCAACAAGGTATTACACAGAACTCAAGGGCATGCCTGCCCCAATACAGCAAGAGAACTCCAAAATCAGATTTGAAAGAAAACTCTTACAAGGCCTAGATTTTCAGGGCATTTAGATGCTTCAGTCAATACAACTTAAAAAACAAAACAAAAAAAAAGCAACAAAAAAAAAACAAGCAATAATTTTGACTTAAATAATTGTAGAAGAATATTATATCCTAAAAATTAATCCTCTGGAATATACTTTCAAAGTCCTGCCTGAACCAGAGTGGAGCAAGCAGTGATCAAAAGTCAGCCCTTTTTATTTCGTGTAAACTGTAACTATACAGAGATGGTTTCACCCAACTTGCTGTGTAAGACCAAGTGACTACAGCCAAGTTAAACTTCTGCCCTTATATGGTAAGGAAAGGGGGGAAAAACACTGATGACATTAAGGGGCACTCCCATGGATAGCAGATAAACACAACCTCCTATCTGTGCCAAGGCCTATAATTTATGAGGCATGTTTGTATAATGAGGGAGAACGGACATGAACAGGGCATTGTCCTGCCTTTGCCTTGCCTACATACAAAAGCAGAAATTGC